AACCCTAGTCGATTTTTAATAAGATTTTCCTTATTGTTCTGGATTGGACCCAAATTAAATTTTTATATGACAAATTTTTTCACTAAATTCTAATAAATTTGATGGAACTTCGAATCATTATTCATATATTTTCTTTATCTTTTCTCATTTTTCTTTCATTTTTTCTCTCGTTCTACCCTTAATCTTTTTTCTATCCTTCTATTCCTAATATTTTAAAAGATATCTATTTAGTCAGCAGATAACAAGTAACTCTTATTTATCTGCAATATTTTTTAATCTCTTCACGTATACTAAATTTAACTTTACCTTTCTATCCTTTATACCATTGTATGACGCAGACCCATCATTACCTGTAAAAATACATCGGTATAGCATTTATTCGGTCCCTTATCCCTAAATGTCATTTCTTCTCTCAGTTTACCCATTTTACTACTTAAGCTTTTGCCATAGAGATAATCTTGGATCTAAAGGACCCTTTAATATATTTATGTTAGCTTATTTTACAGTTGTCAAGGGCTAAGAATGTCTAGAAAAAACACAAGCAGATGTAAGGGCGCCTATCCTAGAACGCAGGTTCAAGGGATTCCTAGATCGGCTGCTGTCAAAAATCCAAGGCAAGTCTCTTTCGATTTCTGGTAAGGCCAATTTACGAATTCCTTCACCCATCTTTTCAAACTAACTTAAAATTACACCAACATTAGGATTATGTCAGCCGGTCCCAACTAAGCAAATAATTTTTTTCAGGACCACTATGATGCAGGCTAGAACATACGAGTGCCTACACATGTAAACGTATATTTGCGCATGTATGTATTGCATAAGCACCAATTTGAGAGCGAACACATGTCACAGGGACTAAAAGTTGACTTTTTTAATAATAATATGAATAGACCATACATCTTCATTTAATCGCACATAGCCTTGCTTCATAGAAGGTATTCTCTTACAGATTGGACTGCAGTTTCAACCTCACCTGAACTGGTCTCATTAGCACCTCCAGTGGAGCTCGAACAATGACAATGCAGTGTATAATCTCGACACTTTAACCCCGGCACCACATTGCCAAGAGTGCCTTTGCATCACAGGGCAAATGTAAATTTAAAGCAGGTCCAGGCATTTTCCCATATCACATTTTATAGTGGGATTGTCGATGAATCAAAGCTATATTTGCTATAGCAATCGACTACATTACTATTTTTCGTTCATGATTACGTTTTTGAGACTACCAGTATAAAGACTACTTATAAACGGAAAATAGGCTGGAGAATTAGCCAATCTCTAAATATAAGATTATTTTTTTTACCATTATTTCTCACTCCGACCTTTTATTTCACTGTCTAAACTAGATCCAGACTGGCGCTTCATGTCTATCTCGCTACAAGGCTGTCGTCTAATTCTACAGATAATGATAGTCCCCACGTCGATTGCTGACGAATCGGCCACTGGTCGCCAGCCCACTCGCTGGACATATGGGCCGCTGCCCGAAGTATTTTGCGCCCCGGCGCACAATGGCGGTCCTGGTGTATGGACACACTATGCTATTACCTTCAGCCGCAACGAGCCGAGCCCGCTGATCCGACTCTTAATCGACGGTCAAGATCTCGGCTCTGCTGAATATCCAATTGAAGAATTGCTTCCCACTCGGATATTCTTTAATCCATACACCATGGTAGCCAAACCCCGGTAGGCAGTTTATGTGACGATATGTTATAAAGATTTGAGAACAAATTAATGTCTTTGCAAATAATGATACTCCCTATCGGAATACGGATGTAAAGGAGATTATTTTCATGGGACCCTCTATAACATAAGAATGTATTGTTAGGACAACTTAAAAAGTTTAGGAACTTTCCTGATGATGTGAGTCATAATTAGCGCAAAGATTCCTAAATTATCTAAATTACCTTTATACTACTTAATACAGACAATCTTGAACCCTCACTTAATAACATGTGAAACCCTGACCTTTGCAGGTTGCAGCTTCACATATTTGTCAAGCCGACCTATTCTCGCCTCGAGATAATTTCTGCATACCTCTGAGATTATTGTTAGGGGAATTTCCATTTCGTATGAAGTGCATGAAAAAGAGATTCGTAGGTCTTTCTCAACAGAAGAAGATGGCTGTTTGGCTCTTATACGACGTTCAGGTTGACGCAGTCCACGAGACGGTCTGAGCTTTGGTCCTTCATATGATGGACATCATCAGAACTGGAATTCATGCTTGTAAAAGTCTCAAGTTGGCATCCGAAACGAGGGTAAGGTCTCGTGGACTGCGTCAACCTGAACGTTGCACAAAAGCCAAACAGCTGCAGTACAACGGGATTCAGCAATCCCCTTTTGGTGAGAAAGTTCTACGAATCTCTTCCTCATGCACTTTCATACGAAGTGAAAGTCCCCCTAACAATGTTATCACAGGAGATTCATCGAAACCCACTTGCTCTTTGTATCGCTTAGATTCTAATTAGGCCTTAAGGCCTTCCTATGCCTTGAGTTCATACGGCCTATCATCACTTTGCAAAGAAAGAACTTTTCTCAATAAATACAAGCCTCTCTTAAGAATCTTACTTAAGTACATTCTCTTTGGCATGGAAAGTTTATTTTATTTTTTTATCACTGCATATTCTTCTTTTACGTTAGTATCACGTTTGGAGCCTGCTACAATCCTGAAACCAGGCTGGCCAAGGAATTTTTGAATGGAGAGCTTTCCGGTGTCATGTTGCTCATGACGAGGACAGAACCGGCCAACAATTTGCGATGCATATCTCAGTGCGGAGAATCTCTTCTTTTGCCAGATGCAATGAAGGTAAACAATACAGCAGTTTTGTAGATAAGGCGAGTAGCTAGGTTTTGATGAATCTCTTGAGATAAAATTGTTATGGCGACTTTCATTTCCTATGAAAATGCATGATGCATTTTTTAAAGGCCTGATTCTAATTACTAAGTTAATAAGTTTCTCATCGTGACTCTTCCTTATTTGCTATACTGCATCATATAATGTATCAGCCATCAATTGAAGCTTCAGGAATTTATTAGATTTCCTAGCTATTAAAGAAGGCAACAAACTGGGTAGGTGTGTATATGGGAAACCTGCAAATAAGGTTTTCCTTCTTAATTTCTTCTAGAATCATACTTATGGTATTAAATTAGGATTGATGAAATCAATAATAATATTGAGTTTATGTCTTGCAGACGTAAATCATCAGGGGGAGGAGACAAAAAGGTTGAGAAAAATCTTAGTTAAGAACAAGTATCCGTTAGGATTAATTGTTAACAATTTCAAAATACAAAGAAATGGAGTTAAAATAGACAATTATTTCAGATAAAACAAGGAATTAGACAACTCTTTCTCCAGGTTGCTAATGATACCATCCTGCATGTTTCGAAACCCAGCACTTCTTCACATCTAAATAAAATTAACTGATATTGTCAGACCTACTCAATGTCAACGATCTATCATTAAATGACCTTAGTTACGTGAGTTAACTAAGTCCTTGTTACCGGTAGTATTAACTTGACCTCATTTTTGCGACTTGGTCGGAGCGACGAGGAGACCGTGTGAAATATGCCTAGCACAACATCCTAGGTAAAAGTATTAATGATGATTTCCAGCATCG